TGTGTGTGCAGAATCGTCCCTCTGTGATCACATGTGCCCCAGCGAACAACCGTAACTGTAACCTCACCCACTGCACCGTCTCTCACAACGGCTGCTCACCCAGCCTGACTTCAAGCTACCGCAGAGCCTCCAACTGTAAGTACAAACTGCCCTCACTGTCCATGGATGGGCTACAAATTGATGTCCAATGACTTTTTTTCCTTAATGAATTCACTTAATAAAGATTCTCTGCGGAGGGAACTATTAGATGTTCAGTAAACGTGAAATGTTGCACATTTTGTGTGTAATCATATTGCCAGTAGAAGAAATGGAGCAGTTGTGACATGCAGGAAGTGACATCGTTCAGACCATTTCTAGAGTATGGTCTAATTTTTTAGGTTTTATAATTGAACTGTAATGTTGACAGCATTAGTCAAGATTAAACACCTCAATATCAAGGTTTTAAATCAAGTTTCGTAACTTGAATTAAGGACCATAAGATCTTTTTAGTAGGGATGTAACAGTTCACGATGCTTGTTTCACAATATGATTTTCTCACATTTAAAAAAAAAAATTAGAATTGACAAATTATAAATGAAAAGGTGTCCTTTTATTGTTGCTTAGACAAACAGCGTTGTAAACAAAGCAAGCCCTGCCTTATGAACACTAATATGCATTATACAGAGGCAAGATGAAAATATAATCTAAGCTTTTCTGAAAACAATCAGTTCCCCTCAGAGATTCATTCATATAAAGTTGTATCACGATTAATTTAACATCTCAACTGATTTGAATCATCACATATCTATATTGATTTTCAACCGGCTCAGGGTGCATTGCTACATCCCTACTCTTCATTTGTAAGAAATACATTTGTCCACACTTTTTTATTAATGATTTTTTTTTACTTAGTTCTAAGTTCTCAAACATAACACAAATTTCAAATAAGAAATGTTAGTCAAACTATGAAAAATTCAAATTTTGTACATTTTAAGAAAGTTGCATTATCCATCTGCTACATGTATGAAGAATGCATCAGTACTAGAAGATTTTCTGCTAGGCTTTCTGCTAATTTTAATGGTTTCAATATAGAAAATATATGTTTCTAGAGACAAGATATCAGATTTACAATGAAAGGATTCATTGATGCTTTCCAGTTCTGTAGGTTGACTTTGTACAGAGCTAACTTAAGTAGGTATAGAAAGCATATTAAACAAATGTTGTCCCTTCTTGAATCAATCATAATGAGTTACAAATTGTGTTTGGCTCTCAAAGTGTACTGAAACTTTATGAAATCAGATTTTCCTGATCTAGCTAGGGAGATGAGATGTCTGGACTCTTCCTGCAGGTGTTAGTGTTAGTATTACACACACATACAAGCGGTCCAGTTTTCTGATAAGTCGTTAGATTTCACATTGTAATGCATGCAGTGCTGGGCAAACACCCCAGATTCTGCTGGAGGTCTTGTCTGTGATTTACAAAGCACTAAGCGGTGTTTCTGTGTCCCTCAGCGAACACGGCCTGCGACCCTGTCATCGAGGAGCATTTCCGCCGCAGCCTGGGCAAGAACTACAAGGAGCCCGAGCCGGTCACAAACTCGGTGTCCATCACCGGCTCGGTGGATGACCACTTCACCAAGGCACTGGGAGAGACGTGGCTGCAGATCAAGGCCAAGGGCAGCTCCTCGGCGAGCCCAGACTCCTCCACCAATGGCCACATGGTCAACCACAATCACTCCCCTTCCCTCGTGTCTTGAGAAGTGGACCGGCGAACCCCATCCCGCCGCTTCTCTCTCAAAGCATGCATGTTTTAGCAGAGCTGACGCATAGCTATGTACATAAAAGAACGCAAGACAAGGAGGTGCTCCTTTAACTTTCACTTGTGCTTTTGACTCATTTTCTTTTGTAAGTATGCTAGTATACTTTAACTTGGCTGTTGCGTTATGGGATGCCCATACCTGTTTTTTTTTTTTTTTTTTTGGAGAAGTGGACCGGCGAACCCCATCCCGCCGCTTCTCTCTCAAAGCATGCATGTTTTAGCAGAGCTGACGCATAGCTATGTACATAAAAGAACGCAAGACAAGGAGGTGCTCCTTTAACTTTCACTTGTGCTTTTGACTCATTTTCTTTTGTAAGTATGCTAGTATACTTTAACTTGGCTGTTGCGTTATGGGATGCCCATACCTGTTTTTTTTTTTTTTTTTGAGTTAAAGATCAGCCAGACACTATCGAACCATCCGCCTCAGATACCAAAGAAACCGCTGATGCAAACCTTTCACCCAGAAGCCATTGTTCCATCGCACTCTGTCAATCTTTCTCGCTCTCTCCCGGTTGTGTCCTGAATCTGTTCTTGTATACTTGAAGCGGAAGGCCTGGACTGATCTTGCACTGTAGATGGACTGATGTGAGTGTAGCGTCGATGGGATGTTCAGAAGATGTTTGGCAGGTGCTGCGGTTCACGTGGCTTTCGCAGGAAACCTTGGTCAGGGGAGGGAACCCGTTTTCAGTCGCTTGGGCTCTGGCTTCTCTACGGCGCTGACACAACTGGACTGCGGCAGATGTGGGCATTCTTCTCGTTTCAGATGGGTCTTTCCCAGGCACTGTGGTTTCAGTAGAGTAGACTAAAGGTTTAAGGGTAAGCTAGTGCTTATAAGTGCATGTTTTAAAAATAGCTGGTATCTATTATTGTGTAGACATTGCAATCGTAATACTTCTAGCCTTTTCTTCAGATTTGATTTTATTTTTGTCAGTAACAGTCCTAGATAAACTTACTGCTGGTACAGTTGTACTCCATATTATTATTTTCTATTCAATATTCATTGTGGTAGCTGCCAGATACAGAAGAGAAATCAGCCTCCGGACAGGCCATCTATATATTAACGGTTGGTTTTGTATGTTGTTATTAATCGGTGGTACAGGATGCTGTCGCTTTGCATGACTGAAAAAAGAGCATTCGCAGCTATTGACAGGTCAACTGTAGCGTTGACAATCTGCCGGAAACGTCGAGCTAGTTTCGTGTGCGTTTGTTATTCTTCATCCTCTCCTAATTCTGCGCTGGGCTGTCGAAGCGGTCGGCCTGTACCGAATCACACACATTCCTCCGATAGGGAACGGCGTGCAGGTCTTGTGTTCAGTGTAGCTACTCACTAGAGCCTGCAGATACAGGAGACGCTCCAGCTCGTCCTTACATTCCATCAGCCCTGG